ATTGCGCTACCCTCAAACCCTAAACCTAGGGTTTGTGTGCTTGAGCACCTGTGTTAGAGTTTGGCCCCTGCCCCCACCCAGCAACAGATGGAGAATATTCATACATCGTAGCTATATTGCCTTGAATATTTACCCCTATTATAAACTGTTACTGGATGGGGGGCAGTACCCAAGTTGGAATTTTGACAGCACTACACGTCCTACCTAGACCCCTAAAACCGTAACCCCTAAACCCTAAACGAATATATTATTGAAGGGTTGGGGTTTGGGAAAAAAGTTGGACCCTGCTTGCAGGCCGGCGCCTCCAGACACGGCCTCATGTCACAACCCCAAAGCACCTTGTACATAATATAATGTCTTAGGTAGGCCCCCCACCCTGTAATGGTGATATATGCGTAGCGTGTCCGAGCTCATGTGCATTGGTGATCTGAAATCACGCGCAGCAGTGTGAGTCTGTTTTCTCACCATAATCCTGACAGCTTGTTCCTTTGAGAATGCAGCTTGGTTGTCTTGGGTGGCTCCATGTATCTGTGGCGTCAAGCGCTGGCAAACAACTGTGTAGTAAGTGCAGCAGGGATACACGCGGCTGTTGCATGTGGTCAAAACAGGTCCCACACTTGAAAGACCGGTGGAGTAGCAATCCAACTATATCCTAAATTTTGATTTATAGTTATAGTTGAACTCTATCCTCCCTGAGCCCCCCTATATAACCTACTGTATGGGAACTGTGTGACTGAGTAGTAACTTCTTTGAACCCCCAAGAACGGCTGAACCTCTCTTCATGAATTGGACATTGTAGTCTCTTGAATGGTAGTAGACCTGGAAGCCACATGAAGCCTGAGTCCCCAAAATGGTAGGCCTAAGTTGTGGAGAGTTTTAAGATTTAACCTTAAGCCGTAAAGACCCTGAAGTACTGGCTGTTTCTTCATTTGCTTCGCGCGTCTGGAGAATGGATGCCATGATGGAGGGCTACAACAGCCATGATGGAGGGCTACAACATTTGGAGGCGGGCTTCCTTCAGTGTCCTGTCTATGGTCTGTGGGGAAGTCGCACATAGCTGCAAACAAATAGAATAATGATGATATTATGTGTTTCTGTTGTCAATAATTAGTAGCAGGTATAAGGGATATTCAACATGAAGATACTTGGCCATTGTGAGCGCCACTCCTTGCAAAGCGGGGATTGCAGGTCTGGGTGGTTTACCGTGCCTCACGTGAAGCCTTCCTACAGTCTGGGCCCCAGCTCTCGGATCCCTAATGTTGGCTTCTGGAGTAAGGGCGGTGTATGTGTGCGCTGCAGGCTGGAATGGGCAAAAGATGCATCAAGAGCCTCTTCCCAAGTGAAGGTGCGCCCCTGCACTCTTCATGTGTCTGCCATGAGCTGATCAGTTGCGCTGGCTTTATGTTTGTGCAAGTTGTGGCAAGATCTGGCAGCGCTTGCGTGTGAGCATGTGCTGTTGATGGCACTGTTTGCTTGTGCTCAAGGTCTGGCCAGTGGTGTTTGCTGGGTTCTGTTTGGGGACCCTGTGTATGTAGTTCTGTAGATTCCTAGGATAGACGTAGCCCTAGTGTAGTTAAAATTCCATCCCGGATTTAGAGTCACTTTGGCAAATGCAGGGAATGAGCTTGAAAGCTTCTCATGAGCAAACTCAACGTCTGCTCTCTCCAGGCCTGTGTCTTGCTTAACAGCACTTACCACATCAAGACAAGAGTTGCATCAGTAGACCTTTGTAGTTTCAATTTTGTTTGCCATGACCTCCTTGCCCTCGGACTTTGAAGAAGCGCCAGTTCAGTTTTCAGCTGAAGCACCGCGCGTTTCACAGGAGTTTCAGAAAGAGCCAAACCTTCAGAATGATTCTTGCATAAATTGGATCTGGTCCCCCTACATAGAAAAACAAATTGACTTTGGCCCCTTCCTTATGGAACGAAATGCATGTGTATGGGCTATTAAAGTTCTACTTTACTGCAATGTCTCGGTAGTCTCCCAAACATAGACCCGCACTCCAAACCCCTGCCATCTTTAGATCTGGGGATTAATGGAATCTTCTTTGTGTTTTACGGGCAGTATATACTGCTAGTGGGCAGTGAGTCTGTTGGAAGTCTTGTTGTGCGTAGAAGCTTTTGGTTTGGCTTCTGGTGATATGTCTCGACCATCTTCTAGCTAAGCTTGGCTTCAACTTATTGGTGGATCGCAGCGGCAAGCTCCTGATGAAGAAGAAGGCTGTATCCAAAAAGGATATTGCCGTCAACCCCCGTGCAACCAGGCAGCTAAGACATCTCTGAAGGTTGGCGTAATTGTTGGTTCAGGGTTTTGTTTGGGAAAGAAAAATGCGATTAATGATTGTTCGGAAGCCTGCTCTGGTGTCAGTAGCCATGTAGTGATATAAGTACATTATCTGAAGGTGGTTGTCTAAAGCTTTGGGCTAACTACATGGGCTTGTACTTGGGTTGGAGCTGGCTAATTTTGAACTTCTGGGTGCCCTTGGCTGTTTTTGGGGGGCCTTGCTTTATAAATTCCTTGGGTGTTCTTCTTGGGAAATTCTTGTGTAGGCTATTGGGGCAAGTACTATCATATACGAGGTTTGTGGGGTCTACATTAACAAGGATACCTATGTTTCGTCCCGATGCGATTGCTGCTGCTCTTGCTGCTGCTGCTGCTGATGCTGGGACCTGCTTCTTGAGGCTGTCGCGGCTGTGGTAAAAGCCTCTGGCAAAAGGCGGAGGTATTCAGCGCATGTCTTTTCTGATGCCATCCTTCATTGGTATTCTACGACACACCAGATGCCGAGAGGGATCAGTGTCAATTGCTCAGCGGTTCGCGATTGGTCCCTACGAACGGGAACAGCCCTTAGAAAGCTTGCAGGGGACTTGGTTTTCTTTCGTGGACGCAACAGGATACTGTCATGTACAACCAGTTCTATTTGCATTGATTTTGTCATGTGCTCAGGTTACGAAATTCAAGTATCTTTCGAGACGCACCCCGAACTCCCACGACAGGGACTTGCTAGAGCTGAAGAGTGAGCTCCTTTCCTACTTGCCTCCCAAGAAGACCTGCAAGCGCACAAACTTGGAGCTTTCCTTGGCCTAGCAAAATGTTCTAGAACTGTAATGCTACCTGCCAATGTGGATGTTGTAGTCTTACCCTCTGAGGGACATAGCAGGGTCTGGATGTTACTTAGTCAAGTACTCTGTCTAAGCTGGATAAGCCGTTTGATGCAATCGCCATAACTCCAATGCACGCCCGGAAGCCTGATGAAGAATACCCCGAAGGAAACCTCCATTGCGAATCTTGTCACCCCATGATATCCCTGAGCCAGACCGTGCTTGAAGCTAAAGAAATTCAAATTCTGCCCAGGAAGCAGCTGGATCGAATGATGAGGACACGTCTGGGCTTTCCATGGAGCAGGAGATGGACAGCCTCAGTGCTCTCAGTAGCAAAACCTCTGTGGCTACGCCGGCTTTGTAGCTGCGTTTTATGATTGCTAGGGCTTGATGTATCTATGGACTACTGAGACCCTTTCAGATTCATGGAAACCCAGGTTGGCCAGATTCTGCCGTCTATGGACTGCTCCCCTGTGAAGCTTCCTACGGAGTATGCTTTGCGGCTACAGATACTTGTCTACAAAAGCTTCAGCTTGAATGGGGCGCACCGCTCATCAAGAACTTACTAAGTGTACTAAGAGCCCAATTTTCATTTTTAAGAACCCCAATCTTACTTTGAAGCATAGTAGATACACTTGGTGGGGCTCGTCCGTAGGTGTTTTTACAAGAAAGAATTAGGTCCTGAGTGATATGCGCTTCCAAGAAAATTAGACCCCTGCCCTATAGAAGCTTAACTCAATCCTTGCAAGGAGCATTATTTCCGATGTCAAGTCGAAGCAGGTCTCTGTGGCCTACCGTATTGACGATGTAGTTGCGAAGCTGCAGGCTTCTATCCCACGTGCTCCCAAACAGTATGTACTTCCTGACTCAGCCTCTTGCCTGAAACCTGTGACTGTGGGGTTTGCAAGCCAAGATAGATCCCAAAATCGACATGATTTAAACCCCACTCAGGTGCTGGAAAGTTTGAGGAGCTTTCCGTGTGATGCTGGCAAGCCTTTCCTACCGAGCGCTCAGTCCCTGTGCCTGCATTAATTAGTTTATAATAGTAGCTCCTACGATTTTATGAAGAAGGTTCAACATGGGGCCATATCTTAGGCACAAAGACACATCCCGCGAGAGTGATGATGAGGATGATGAAAAGGTCCCTGAAGTGGAGAAGTCGAAGACTAGGGGCACTGTTGCTAGGAAGAAGCAAAAGGGTCGGGCAAAGAAATCAAAGTCCCAGAAGGCCAAGCCTTCTCGTACTGCAAAGAAGGGCGAAGCTTCTGGCTACAAGGCTGGTAGCTTCAACGAGGAACGCCTTAAATTCATCAAGAACCTAAGAGAAAAGGATGGTCTTGGATGGAAAGAGGCCTCTGAGCGCTGGATGGCCAGCAGCAAACGGCAAGGTCTCCTGGATGGCATGTCATATTCCGAGCTAGTCCGCAGGCGCTTTGTGGATCCCCACTCTTGAGGGCCCTATAAGCCCTAAGCTTTGTTTTGTGACTTGGGTTGTGCCTACATAATAAAGGGGGCAGGCTGTTCACTTATTTGGGGGTCACTGATTCTAAAGCTCTACAAACAAAACCTTCTAGCTGGTTTGTAATGACTGTGGTTCATGGGCCTCGATGCTGGGGTTCGCGCTTTTATGTTCGAGAACAAATTAACTGCCCAGCCTGGCTCTTTTGTGGAAGAGCCTGAATTTTCAATGCGTGCATGACAAGTTCTTTACTGGGTCTAGCTGCGCCCAGGCTTTAATTTCGCCTTGCCTTCTGGAGCATGCTTGCTCATGCGAAAGAGGTCTGTGCACTGCACTAGTGACTTGGTGGTCTTCCTGATCATCTGCTTGCGGTGTGTGTGTGTGTGTGTACTGTTGCGTATGCTTTCAGGTTTTTGGTACAAGTTTGTAGGGCTTGAACCATGGTTGTGGCCGAGCTTCTGGAGCATGGAGCTCCTCTACCGCTGATACTTCTGTGTCTGCTGGCGGGCTTCAACCCTCGTCTGAGTCACACGCAGGACTCCATAAACATCTTGAGGGATGAATGGACCTCAAAAGGGCTCAGGCGTGGTTTAGTATGGCAGGGATCTCTGTTTAGGATATGATGTTTTAAGATCCATTCAGTCCTCAAGGTATGTACTCATTTCTGTGAGAACCATATTCATCTATGCAAAGCAATGGCGTTCATAAGTGTCCCAGGATTACGACTACTTGGAGGTGTTTGCAGGCGCAGGTCAAGTCAGTGAAAAGCTGAGACAGGAGTGTTGCGCTGCTTGTGTCTTGGGTTGTGGAGTTTTAATCGCAGCTGGCTTTGTTTTCTGCGGCGCAGGATGGCTTGACTGGTGCTGGACTGGAAATTTTATCAAATCCAATGCTTTTCGATCTCACGAGTGATGTTGGCTACGCTCTTGCGGTCAACGCTGTTCTTCGCCTGCGGCCCCGGGGCTTCATGGTTGTGGCGCTGTGCTGTGACAGCTTCACTATCATGTGACTTGGACTGGTGTATGTAGCCATGAAGTTCGCTTGAAAACCCATGTTGTCTGGCTTGCTCTCAGAATGGCCTTCATAAAAAGATCCATTTCTCAGGTCCCGAGCTGTGTCCGGCCGTAGGCCAATCCACCCGTTAGGCAACAACGGCTACGGATTTGTAGCCGCTGGAAACTTGTTGTTATGCAGGGCCATGATGCTGCTCCTGTTGGCGTCTTATAAGGGCTGTAGATTTCTCCTGGAGCAACCGGCGAACTCCTGCATGGCTTTGCATCCCCGGTGGTCATGGTTCGTTGACAGGGTTCATGCTGCTTTCCTCAAACATTAGCTAGTGTGGTTCCTGCCTGCTGTGCCTCCAGCTTTGTGTGCGTGAGTATAACTAAGGTTTGGCGAGGCCATTGGTACATGGGGAGGTTTGATGGACCTACTCCGAAAAGACACGTCGGATGGTCCAACGATGAGGAGATTATGAGTCAATTGATGGCTCGTGGGGGTTTCATGTCTGGCGCCGACCGCCTAAAATTCTCAGCGAGACTAGTCAAGAAGGGCTATAACAAGTCTGGGATGCCTACATTTTCTGGCTGCAAGCAGCTCTTGAAGAGAAGCCAGCAACATGTATGATGATTCAGGCATTGTTCACTTCCTGATGTATTGTTATTGCACGGGGGACTACTTAGGTAGCTGCTGAAAGATGCTGAAGTATCTGAGGCGCTACACTCCAAAATTCGGCCACTGTATAGTGGATCTTTTCAGGCAGAATGAGCACGCTGCTGGTTTGATTTTGGGCCTCTGGTTTGGGTACTTTGCATCTATATAGGGGTTCCATGGACTGGATGAATTGGGTATGTTGTGATTGCTTGCTTGGTGGTGGTGCTCAGGTGGATGTTCCTGGGCCCAAAAGCAAGCGATCTGTGGATTTGCGAAAATCTGATTATGAGCTCTTCTGCGATCACCTCCATGAGATAGAGTTGGATACCTGTGTGGATGTGTCTTGCTAGCAATTGCAGGGTAAGACGAAATATAAACGGACTTCTGTCTGCGTGTGGTGTTGAAGGTATCTGCTGCTGGTCGGAATAGCTGAGGCCAACCTTGGATCGGTCATCCGATATTTAATTGGATGCAAAGATTTGGATTGCCCTGGCCAATGGGAGTCTGGGCTTCACAGCATATGGGGTCATGGCAGGGAGGCTGGTTGAAAGAACGGTTTTGCACGAAAAACATGCTTTAATCACGAATATCATGGTGAATTCCCGTAGGTGGCGCTTGCCTGCAGCAAAAGCACGGAAAGCACGAGAAGCCTGAAACAGCACGAAAAAGCACGAAAAGCACGAAGAGCACGAAATGTGCGAAAAGCACGAAAAGCGCGAAAAGCACGAAAAGCACGAGAAGCGTGGTTTTGGGTTTAGGCCCTAAGCCCTAAACCTTATAGACCCTAGGTCCAAAATAGGGTATATACAGGGCGTGGCTACCTTGTTAACAGGGCTTCGGTGAGGCAATGAAGGTTTTGGGACCCCCAATAATGTAACTAGGGCCTTGTTACCTTATCATAGGGTGTTGGGCGATGATGGCCAAAATTGTAGAACTGGGTTTGTGAGGATGCACTGGCTTAGAAAGTTAACTGTTACTGCTGTGGCTGCTAGATGACAATGTCCTGTTGAGCTGTACTGGCCCGGGTGATATTATGTTCGGAAACAGAAAATTAAGGGCATTGGAAGGTTTTTTCGGGGAGGGTGTATATGCATGCTTCAGCAGGGATGATGGCTTCGCTTCTTTCCATGTGGGTTCGGCTTGGTCTTTTGATACTGGGGTTGGGGTGTTGTCTTTCCTATGGGTACACAAGTGTCAAGAAGCCAATGATGGCGGCTTGTGCGCGATATCCTCGCTTTTGTTGGGTTTTGGGCTTGTCCTGGTCCCAATATGGTTAGGGTTCAGGGTTTATAGGGTGTATAGGGTTGATAGGGTTTGCAGTGTTTATAAGGTTTAGGGCTTAGGGCTTATAGGGCTCAGACCCGTTTCCAGACCCCCAAAACGCCAGAAGACCCTTCCAGCGCCCCCTCAAACCACCCCAAGTTTGTGGGTCAAAAATCGCCACCATTTTTGACCCACAAAAATTGCCTCTCTAAGGCCTCCCAAACCCCTTTCCAAACCCCCAAAACGCCAGAAGACCCCTCCAGCACTCCCTCAAACCACCCCAAGTTTGTGGGTCAAAAATGGCCACCATTTTTGACCCACAAAAATTGCCTCTCTAAGGCCTCCCAAACCCCTTTCCAGACCCCCAAAACGCCAGAAGACCCCTCCAGAACCCCCTCAAACCACTCCAAGTTTGTGGGTCACAAATGGCCACCATTTTTGACCCACAAAAATTGCCTCTCTAAGGCCTCCCAAACCCCTTTCCAGACCCCCAAAAACCCCCCTGCTCCTGCCCTCCAATCAGGCAATTCTTTACCCATAAAGCAAAAACCTATACCCCCAAGTGTCCCATCGAGGAAGATCTGATCCAGGATCTTCGGCAGTTGCTTTCCTGCAATTGCAAGCAAGGGTTTGAAGGCTGTTGGAAAGTCTTGCTGCTTGGTTCTGCTCCTACAGCAGAACCCCGAAAAGTCAACTTAGGTTCATGATTGCGGAGAATGGTGATCCTAAGTTTCTGGGAGAAAGGTTGAAGGCTTTGCCTGGCTTGGCCAAGTAACTCCGATCTATGCCACTCCGCGGGCTCTGTAGAGTGTAGAAGCTTTTGAAGAGGGTTTTGCAGTATGTCATATGGCTTTGGGTGTATGATGGGTCTAGGCCTCTTGGAACGCTTTCAGTGCCCTGGAGTACTTTGAAGGTCTTGCTAATTCGAGGCAGGCGGGGTCCGTGAAAAACCGTTCAAAGCAACTTATCTGGCGTTCCCGGGCGGGTAAAAGCCGGGATTTACGTGAATGCGAAATTTGGCTGTTTTCTGTGGTCTCCCGAGACTCCATGGGCCCCAGTGTGCCTGCCTGCCAATTAATGCCTTCTGGTCTTCTTTTCACTTTCTAGGAGAGAACCAGGGCGCTAAGCTCTGTGAAGACCGTGCATCCCGTGAACAACGTGCAAACCGGGAAAAACGTGAAAATCGTGAACACTGCGAATGTCCTGAAGCCTAAGACTGCCCCCGCTGTGTATGTCATTCAGGAGGCCTCTGTCTCTGCTACTCATATTGAATGGCAGGTTTAGTGACAGTTTAGTATATTGATGCGTGTTAAGTACCTATTTGCACTACTGTTATAGAGATCCTTTGAATCTAGTGCAAGAGCGATTGTGGCCTGTGCTCAAATGCAACTTATTCTCTCTGCTGCTCTATAGGGTACAAGCTTGATTCTTGCAGGGGAGGACCTAGTGCAGACACATGGCGCCTGCCCACAGCAAAGGGATGTCGAAGGATGCTGCTGATGCAGCCGAATCTGTGCGCAAGCGCAATGCGCGGATCAACACTGCCCTGGCCAGGGGCAAGGCTTTGCAAGAGGAAAAGCAGGGCATCTTCAAGCCCAGCACCCCACTGCTTGAGGATAGCACTTGCTCGATGACGCTGCAGGACATCATGGATTCTGAAGGACTTACTTTCGAGCAAGCTGTTGAGGTTTGCAAGAAGTTTAGAGCCCAATCCTGTAATGAAACTGCCTCCAACCCCAAAGCTGGCATGGGAAGCCTTCCGTCAAAGCCTAGCTCTGAGAAAAGTGCGGGCGCTAGTAGCTGCAAGCCTCCAGTGTCTCCAGACGCTGGCAAGCCGCGGGGCATCCTCAGGATCGGCGGCAAAAATTGTCAGGCAGCGGTAGCAGAAGGTAAGGAGGAAGAGGGGGGGGAGACAACCAGCGCAGCAAAGCCTACATCAAACAAGCGCAAGAATGCTACAAGCATGTCAGGCAAGGATTCTGCAAAAAAGCCGAAGGAGAAGGAATTTCAGGTGGAGGAGCCAGAAAATGAGGAGAAGACCCCTTCCCCAAACCCGAAAACAGCAAGTGCTGAGGGGAGCCCAAAACCGAAGGCCGAAAACAAGAAGCGTAAAGTCAAGGAAGAGGGGGAGGAAGTGGTAGCAGGAGAGGCGAGCGCAGCAAGTGAAACGGGAAAGAAAAAGAAAAAGAAGAACAACGCTGAGGAGGTAGAGGAGGAGGTAGTACCTTCCAAGAAGAACGAGAAGAAGGGAAAGAAAAAGGAAGGCGTTGCAGCAGTTGCTGAAGCTGAGGAGGTCTACCAGGAAGCTTCTGAGGAGCTTGAGGTTGCAGAGCCTAAGCCAAAGCTAAAGAAGCTCAAGGCTTGTGAGAGTCTGGAGCCTGTCTCAAGCGAGGCTGCAAACGAGGCCAAGTCGTTGGATGAGCAGGGGCCATGGGATGATTATGATTGTGATTACGATGAGTGGTATGCCCTGCATGCTGAGCATGCGGACGATTCGCTGTTTTGGGATGTTGAAACCTACGATGATGATGAATGGGATGCGTGGATGGAGTTCCAGAAGTGGCGAGCCGAAATCTGGCATGATGCAGAGGAAACTGCTCCTGCTGCTGAGGCTAAGCCAATGAATGACCCCGAGCTTCCCCAGTCATGCCCCCGCAGAATCAGAGGCAAGCAAGCTAGCGCTGATGCAGTCCCTTCTGACGCAGCACCAGGTGCTGCAAAGAAGGGGGATGAAACTAAAAAGGCGGCCCAGGTGCCAGCCATCGAGGATTGGCCCCATGATCGACAGCCGGATGCGTTGGAGTCCGGATGGTACCTTGCAGTTTGAAGTGTAGATTCTTTGTAATTCCATTTCGTTACCTAGAGCTGTAGTTTTCCTTCTTGCCTGCAGGTCACGAGGCCCTCCCCTAAGCCCAGATCCTACGCCTCAACCCTAGCAGTCAACTTCCATCCCTGAGCCTTAGACCTCTATAGCTAGCAGGTTTTTCATAGTTCAGGTCATGCGCTACATTGGAGCTTGCAGAGAAGCAGTTGCTTGCGGACCACCCCAATGCGAAAGACCCTGCTCTTGCAGAAACGGTTGTCAACGATACC